TATAAAATAACACCTAGCTGAGACTATATAGCTTACAGTGGTCATTAAATAGGTCTTTTTTTAAATACATATTTTTTTAATGTCAAGAAAAGCAGTTTTAGGTTTAATAAATCAAAATCAAAAAGTGTACAAAGGGTCATTGAAACCTAATTTGGGTACTGCCAGAATAGGTAGTTTTGAAACAAGTGAAAGACATGGGATATCCACTCTAAATTTTCATTGACAGTTGTACCCTTAAAGTCCCTTCAGTAGGTGAGGGTCGTCAGGGAGAAGAAATAAAGAAGCTATGTTAATTTCTGGTAAGACTGAGTAATGTTTGACAATGACTGAAGAAATAAATGACTCTCGATTAGAGTGGGAAAAAAAATGTTAAGAGAAATTTGCTTAGGACTTAAAGCCAGGAATAAGGTTAGGATTTTGTTTAAATAATAGGTAGATGAACCTATGAACAGCTCAAGAGAAGACAAAAATCTTTAAATCTGGAAAACAAACCATAGAAGAAAATCAGTAATGTTTTACTCAAAAGTCATAAAATTCAACTTCACCAGTTCAGTCTCATGTAATTAATCTATCTTATGTTATGATCCGATCTTTCCATTAACATTCGATGTTATTATCAATATTTCCAGATTTGTCCCTACCATTAAGCTCTTCCATTAAGTTGGTCTTTTTTTTTTTTTAATTGGATTCTTATCACTGTGTGTCTGTCCTTAGGTTTTCTAGTATAGCACTCCCTTCAGAACTCCTTGGAGAGTTGGTCTGGTGTTGGTAAATTCTTTCAGGTTTTGTTTATCTGAGAATGTTTTTTGTCTTTAGTTCCCATATGAAGGATAATCTTACTGGGTATAGTATTCGTGGTTGCCAGGTTAAATTTCAAGCTATTTTTTTCTAGTGGGCAATTCTCAGGCCTAGTTTCCTTTTTATTGTGTTTTATTTTATCAACCTCTCATTTAGGTCATTTTCTATGCAAACTGACAATGCAACCAAATAGTATAGCATTACTCTCAGTTACCATTACTAATATAGACATAATTGACATGGTTACTGGGATGAGGGTTGAGTGGTCACTGTTATGAAGATCAGGTCATTTGAGTTCTTCCACTTGTCTAATGCTGACGGCTATCACTTGATAAGTGATTGGATGCTGAAAGGCATTTAACATCCTTGAGAAGAAATAGGGCACTAAGGAAGTTAATAGGATAACTATGAGAAGACTAATGTCCAGAGACTGAAATCTACTTCTCCAAAGTAGATTCTCAGTAACCAACATTTACAAGCTAAATAAATCAATGGAAGAAGAGTCACCTATCCAATGAAATACATATCTGCTATTTAAAATCTTTAACATTTAAATCAATGATGCCTAAATCATTAATATAAAATTTTTTCACCAATCAGAGCACATATGCTTCCTTGTTGATTAGTTCAGGTGTCCAAGATTTGTCTATTTTGTAAGACTCTGAAACAAGGCCAGAAACCTCAATTTGTATGACTTGGAGGGAATTGGCAGGGTCAATAAAACTTTTTTCTAAAATTTTAAAGAAATGTATGTGTAATTTTAAAATGTCAATATAAGGAATCAAAGGTGTAACAAATGAATGGAGTCCAGAATTACATATATTGAGAAGGTTAATGCTGCCAGATTTCTCTGATATTATTTTACAAACAAATTAACCAAGATTGGTGGCTTTATTTATGAAGATAGTGGGTTTTGTTGTTTTTCTTATTTTTCTTATTATTTATTATTATTTATACATTCAATCACTACACATTATTTATATGATAAAGAGATTTACCCAACATGGTATATGCCACACACCAGGTAAGTTGAGCATACTACACACAACATCATTAACAGGGAACAGACCATATCTGTGTCCCACAAATGTCTTACTTCTCCATTTGTCTTTTCCCCTATTATTACCTCATCATATCCTGCTTCTAACAGAGTGGCAAGTTTAAGGTACTCTAGACATAGATAAAAACACTAGAAGTTTCTAAACCTAGTGGAAGATATCTCAGAGAAGGCCAAAAGCAAATTTAAGAACTCTATGTTTTGTCTCATAAATGCCTTGCCTATCTATTTTTCTCCTTAATGTCCTTCCTCAGACTGCTCCACCCACCCTCTTCTCACACTGTATCTGGTATTCACAACCATTTACTATATACATGTTTCTATATCCTTTAATGATTCAGTTCTAGTCATAAAGTGCAGGCACTCAGTATATATTAAGTAGAGACATACAATGTCTCTCCTTCATAGCCTGGCTTGCTTCACTCTGCAGTAACTCTTCTATATTCATCCACTTTCTGTCAAAAGCCAGGGTCTTGTTGTTTTCTATGACTAAGTAGCATTATAATTTGTTGAAGATAACTTTATAGTATTGTCAACTGGACTGGTGAGAAATGTACACGTGTTGGAATATTCACTTTGCAAGCTATATTATTACATGATTGAATGTATAGAAAAAATTGAAATAAAAGAATAATAATAAAAAAAGAACTCTATGCTTAAGATTATCTTGTTAAAAAGGTAAGTCCTAGCTCTTTCCCACCTCAGAGATCATGAAAACAAACATGTTAAAACAGAAAATTCGAGAACCAGCAGTTAGCATAATGGCTATGTCACTGGACTCCCACGTAGTCAACCGCAGTTCGCGTCCCGGACCCGGTGGCTTAAAACTCACACCAGGCGCATGTGTGTGCGTGCCCAAGATCCCGAGAGGAGAATGGAGGAGAAGGGATTGCAGTGTGACCATCCCCTCTGGGGGTTGATTTCTTGCTTTCTGTCTCTAGGTCTCTCTCTGTCTGTCTGGTGAGCGCACGCACCCTGTAACAAAAACCTCTCAAAAAAATTCAATTTATATTGCTTAATATTTGCAAAATAGTGGTACTATTGACTATGGAACCATGTTGCTGTTTTCCTCCTACTGTGAAGATGGTTTATAAAAAAATCAAGGTGAGAGAAGCATATAGAATAGAATTCATTACTTTCTAGGTCACACTGTAAATTAGTAAGTTTTTTTTCTTAAAATAATAAAAGCAGAAGGGTGCCTAAGAAAGTCAATATATTCACATATAATAATCATAGAGCCAAGATAAGAGATGTAGGCAAGATGTCATCATCAACAGGTAATAAGCCATATCTGTTTCCCACTGACGTCCTGCCTCTCTATTTCCTCTCTTGCTATCTTTCTCTATCCTCTTCTCTTCACTGCCCCCCATTCTCCACTGTCTTATTCTCGTTAAGTGCTTTCACTGCTTTTATGTCCTCCAATATTTCACTCTCTACCATAGAGTGCAGATAGTCGGTATATATTAAGTGGATACATACAATATCTTTCTTTCGTAATCTGGCTTACTTCACTCAGCAATAGATCCTCCATATCTGACCACTTTCTATCAAACGCCAGGGTCTTGTTATTTTTTATGGCTGAGTAGTATTCCATAGAGTATATATACCACACTTTTCCAATCCATTCATCAGTTTGTGGACATTTAGGTTGGTTCCATGTCTTGGCAACTGTGAATAATGCTGCAATAAATATTGATGTGTAAGCACTTTCTGACTGAGTGTTTTCCTGTCCTTTGGATAGATGCCCAGAAGTGGGATTGCTGGATCAAATGGTAGTTCTATTTGTAGATCTTTGAGGAACCTCCATATTGTTCTCCACAGTGGTTGAACCAATTTATATTCCCACCGATAGTGTAAGAGGGTTCCCTTTTCACCACTTCCCCGCCAACACTTATCACTTTTTATATTCTTAATCTTTGCTATTCTGACAGGGGATAGGGTGTATCTCATTGTGGTTTTTATCTGCATCTCCCTTTCAATGAGGTATGTTGAGCATTTCCTCATATGCTTTTGGGCTGTTTGTATGTCTTCCTTAGAGAGATTTTTGTTCAGCTCATTTTCCAATCTTTTAATTGGGCTAAGCTTTTTTTTTTTTTTTTTCACATAAGGCACTTGAGCTCCCTGTGTATTCGAGTTAGCAGTCCCTTGTCTGAGGATATTTAACAAAAATATTTTCCCATTCTGAGGGTTGTCGGTTCACACTTGTTACTGTGTCCTTTGCTGTGCAGAAACTTCTTAGTCTGATATAGTCCCACTTGTCTATTTTAGGGATTATCGCCTGTGCTTTAGGAGTCTTATTTAAGAAGTCTTTGCCTACTCCTATGTCTCCCAGAGTTTCCCCAGCATTTTACTTTGAACCTTTTTGAAATCATCATTTTAAATGGTTTAAGATGGTATGCATTACCATATTTGGTCTAACAATTTTATTTTAATTTGTTTATTAGTTGAATTATATAATAATTATATATATGTACTAAAAGGTTTAAAAATTACTTAGTTCAAAAAGTATTTAGGAGGATATAAAAACATTTTAAACAAAGAATACACAAAAAAATTTAAAAATATGTGCATCTTTAGGGACCAGCAGATAGCGTAATGGCTATGTCACTGGACTCCTTTGTAGTCGACCATGGTTCGAGTCCCGGACCTGGGGGCTTAAACTCACACCGGGTACGTGTGCGTGCATGCCCAAGATCCCAAGAGAAAAAATGGAGGAGGAGGGATTTCGGCATAGCCATCCCCCTTGGGGGGTGATTTCTCACTTTCTGTATCTCTGTCTCTCTCTGCCTTTCTGCCCACCTTATAGCACAAACCTCTCCAGAAAAAAAAAAATTGTGCATCTTTAAACAGGAAGTAGTGCATTCATGTTATAAAGACTTGGTAATATGATTTGTTTTACTTTAATCTTGATATGAATTGAAGCAACAAGTAATTGGGGTCTGTTCTTAAAGTACTCCGTTATTTTGATGATTATAAAAACTTATAACAAGGACATAAGTATCTAATAAAATTTTTTATTCATTTATTTTATTGATTTAACAATATATTATGTCCCTATTATATGTAAAACACAAGATCAAATATTATGTGATGTATTTGAGCAGGAAGAAAATGAAAAGAGTATAAAGTTTCCCTTAAAAAGTTATTAATTTATCACTTTTCTCAGTGCACCTAAAACATCCTTGTTTCTTAGGCTATAAATAAAGGGGTTTAGTAGAGGGATTATAATTGTGTAGAACAGGGAGTACATTTTATCCTGATACTTATCTGGGCCAGACCCAGGGAGCACATACATGAAGAACAGAGTGCCATAAAACAAGAAGACAGAGAGTAGATGGCCACTGCACGTGGAGAAGGCTTTGCGTCTGCCCTTCTCAGACTTCTTTTGCAAGATGGCCAAGAGAACTCGGATATAAGAAATTATGATGGACATAAAAGTAAATGCTTGGATAAAGGTGGAAAAAACAAAAATCACTAATGCATTAATAGATGGATCAGTGCAAGAAATTGTATAGAATGGCAAGATTTCACAGTAGAAATGATGTATTACATTGGACCCACAGAAAGTTAATCTAAATAATAATCCTACATGAACAACAGGGTGCAGAAAACCGATGACATATGAAATACTTATCAACCAAGTGCAGAGTCTCTTGGACATCAGCACCGGATAAAGCAATGGGTTACATATGGCCACATAGCGGTCATAGGCCATCACTACCAGGAGAAAACATTCTGTGGTTGCACTGGAACCAAAAAAATAATATTGGGCCATGCACTCAAAGAGGGATATCATTTGACTATTGTCTAAGATGTTGACAAGCATTCTTGGGGTCACAGAGGAGGAAGTACACGCATCTGCAAAGGCTAAACTGCCAAGGAAAGAGTACATCGGGGTGTGAAGATGGGGATTCTTCCAGATGAGTGCAATAAGGCCAAGGTTGCCCACCATGGTGATGACATAAATCAACAGGAACACCACGAACATGGGGACTTGCAGTTCTGGCCGATCTGTTAGCCCTGTAAGAATAAACTCAGTCACCAGTGTCCTGTTTCTCTTCATCATATCCACTGAGACTGATCACTGCAATGAGAAAATACGTAAAGAAAAAGAAAGTTACATGAAATAGTACTGTATTGCAATATTATATTCCTTTGTTTCACATGCTCTTTGATCAACACATATAAAGGTATAAAGCTTCTCTTTTTAAAAATACTCCTAAAAATAAAAAGTATATAAACAATTTTGAGATACAGATTTTTTTTAAATTTGCAATAATTTGAAAGGTTGATGGGGACGCCATCGAAAATTTCCTTAGCTCAATAACTTGTCAATCAGAAATACATGGAGCTAAGTATATAACAATATTTTATACAAACTCAAGAGTATAAAATATATATATAATATAAATATGCATATCATATATTTTATAATAAAATCCCATAAAAGAAGACTAACTCAAGTTTAAAAATGTTTTCTCACTTTCTCAGGAACTTTTTTATATCTTTTACACTGAACAAAATATGGGTTCTATCTTTCCTTGTAAGATATTAATGAGTCAAGAAATAAGACAGTAAGTTAAAATCCTATCGTGATGTATTCTGTTCCTTACCAATATATTACTTGATTACACATTCATCAAAACCACCCAAAATTTCTGTTAACTGTTTTTCTCAATAAAGTCATAAGCGAACAAAGTTCACTTAGTTAACAAATGTTTTTAGTTCCTCTTAAGTTATAGCACTGCTGTTCTTAGCCCAGTCACACATAGAACCTGTAACTCAGGTGATACAGCCAGGCTGCTAACATAGCCCTTATTTTGGGACCACTAGTTAGCGTAATGGCTACGTAGCTGGACTCCCATGTAGTCAACTGCAGTTCAAGTCCCAGACCTGGTGGCTTAAACTCTCGCCCAGCGTGTGTGCGTGCATGTCCAAGATCCCGAGAGGAGAATGGAGGAGAAGGGATTGTGGTGTGGCCATCCCCCCTAGAAGGTGATTTCTCACCTTCTGTCTCTCTGTCTCTCTCTGTCGGTCTGGCAAGCACATGCGCCCTATAGCAAAAGTTTCTCAAAAAACAAAAACAAAAACAAACAAATAAATAAAAACACATAACTCTTATTTTAAGAAGAAACAAAAAGCAAAAGAGACATGAGTAGTGCCTTGTTTGCAGATTTGAGATAGCTCATTAAACTTGACAATGTAGAAAATTACCCAGTTAACCTAAGACTTTCTTCTAATATTTCAAAGACATAATATTCTAAAGAGACAGTAACAATTTTTCTTTCCCTGCTCTATGTGATATAGTGAGTGGAATTATCAAGATCAAGCTGGA